GAGGGGGTAGGGCTGGCCCTTGGGAGGTGTTTCCCCAGCTGCTACTGACACGGTCCCCCCAGGAGACACACCCTCAGCCGCCGGCGCATCATCCCGCTGCCCCAGTGGAAGGCCAACCCCGAGACGGACCCCGAGGCCCTGTTTCAGAAGGAGCAGCTTGTGCTGGCCCTGTATCCACAGACCACCTGCTTCTACCGGGCCCTGATCCACACTCCCCCACATCGGGTAAGGGCTGGGCGGAGAGGCCTCTCAGGACCCCTGGGGCCAAGACAGGTCACAGGGTGGTCCTCCCCGTCCCTCTCTGCTTCTCTTTCTCCAGGGCTGGGTTCCCCTCTCCTGCTTACCGGGTCTGTCCTGGCTGCCTTGGCCAGCAGTGACTGGAGGCCTGCTGCGCCTCCTGTCCCGCTTCACTGGCAGCCTGAGGTGGATGCACACCTCTGGAGCTCCAGCCTCTCTGCTGTCCTGAGTTCTTCCCAAAGCTCCCACAATATTACCTGGGTCCTGTGTGGGAAGGTGCAGCCTGGAGCTGTTTCTGTCTCCTTCCAAGACCCTGGTTGGTGGTCTGGCTTGCCCTGGATCCCGTTAACAAAAGGCTCCTGAGTGCAGCAGACCCGCACTGTTGTGGCCTGAGTCTGGCCGGGGGAATCGCCTTCTCTTTGCTCTTTGTTCCTTGCCCTTCCGAGCCTCCTGACCCCAGAGTGGAAGATAAGGACAGGATAAACTAGGAGCAAGTAGCCTGTGGCTCCTCTACTAGCCTAGGGCTGGATGCTGGGCAGGCCTGGCCTGGAGGTGTCTGAGCAGCCTGTCCTCCCTCCTGCCAGCCCCAGGATGACTACTCCGTCCTGTTTGAAGACACCTCCTACGCAGATGGCTACTCCCCTCCTCTCAATGTGGCCCAGAGGTACGTTGTGGCTTGTAAGGAGCCTAAGAAAAAGTGAAGAAGGCTGGCAGACGCAGGCAACTGCTGCCCTCACTCCTCCTGGGAGAGGCAACAAAGGCTTTTCTGTGAGCAAATAAATCCTCATCCCTCTCTCTCATGTCTTCCGGGCCTCACTTCCCCAAATCTCCCCCCACTGAACGGACAGGGGTGGAGTGGAGGCCCCTGCGGGAGAGGCTGTATCTGGGGCCTGTGGGACTTGCTC